AATATCTTTATTTTATTTATTTTTATGTGGTGCTGAGGATCAAACCCAGGGCCTCGAATGTGCTAGGCGAGCGCTCTACTGCTGAGCCACAACCCCAGCCCTCACAAGAGGTTGTATTAAGGACCTCAGAGAAAAAATAATGTATATTCCTCAGGAACAGAGAGTTGTGTTGCATGAAAATCAGTTTTAGCAATAAACGGAAAAAAATTTTTAAATCATCTGAAAAGTGATAGGGCCAAATGTTAAATGTGCATACCACTAAGATAGAAAGTAATCAAAGAATTTGGGCTGGGGTTGTAGCTGGGTGGCAGAGCGCTTGCCTCGCATGTATGAGGCACTGGGTTCGATCCTTAGCATCACATTAAATAAATAAATATTTTTTTTCTTAAAGTAATCAAAGAACTTTTTAAAGTCAACCCAGGAAAATAAAATTTACAGACTAAATTATAAGAAGTTTGGAAGTATGGGCAGGATTAATAAAGCAACCAGAGTATAATACTAAAAAAATGAACAAAATTAAATATACCTAATATGTTTAAATATAGTAAGTATTCCTACAATATAATGGACAGAAAAAAAAGTTTAAATACAAGAATGTTATAATGGAATAAAAATCAAAATTTAAGCAAATCAGAGTTCTGGTGATATGATATAAGCCCATTACTCATGATTAAAGGTATCAATGAACAGAGTCCTGAACTTTAAACCCCTGAGTTATTAAAACTCTTAGAACAACAACAACAAATTGCTACCAAGAGCTGGAAAAGCAGGAAAGTTTCACATTTAAAGTTTATCAAAATTTGATCCTGTTTTCACTAACAAAGGAGCTATCTCACCAATTCTCTAGTTTCAGTTGTTTAAAGAAAGGCAAATGTAATTTGTTACATTGCAAACAGGAGGCTAGCAATTAACTGTCGTTCCTCTTACTCTTCTTCAAAAGATACAACCACCAAAAACAACTGGTGAAAATCCTAAATTACACACTAAACAAAACAAAACAAAAAAAACTAATAAAAAGATGCAAGAGTTAAGAAAAGAAAGGCAGAGAGTTTTCATTATGTGCATATTATAAACATTTCTTAATTTAAGATATTTAGTAATGTTTCTTCACCAATGGGGAATGTATTTATAGGAAGGAGTTAATTTTAACACAATCCCCTTAGAAACTAGATGTCCCAGCATCAGTGATTAAAGACTTTTACCTTTATCTAATTAACATTGTACAAGTTCTCTTTCAAATTCATTTTTATTTAAACAAACTATACCATTTTTCCCTGTGGTACATCCCTAGATGTAAGACTAGAGTTAGGGCTGGGGATGTGGCTCAAGCGGTAACACGCTCGCCTGGCATGCGCAGGCGCTGGGTTCGATCCTCAGCACCACATAAAAATAAAATACAGATGTTGTGCCCACCAAAAACTGAAAAATAAATATTTTAAAAATTCTCTCTCTTTCTCTCTCTCTCTCTTAAAAAAAAAAAAAAAAAAAAAAGACTAGAGTTAGGGGAATTAAATGCAAAGTGTGCACGAGGCAGTAGAGGATGACTCCATGTACTGACTGTATCACTACTTAACAACCTCTGGAATAAACTACATAATTTACAACTACAGAAATATGTATTTAAAGGTGCACTAAGAAGCAAATATTTGTGTGGATAAAACTCTGCATGTTCACCATTTTGGAACAAAATTAACTTGTCTCCTTAATGAAGATAAAAACTGGTTTAATTATATACACTGAAGTATAATCAAATTAACTGGACTGGGGTTGTGGCTCAGTGATAGAGCACTTGCCTAGCAAATGTAAGGCAATGGTTCGATACTCAGCACCACATAAAAAATAAATAAAATTATTGTGTCCTTCTACAAATAAAATTTTTTCAAAAAGAAAATCAAATTAACTAATCCTGGCCACAGGACTATATCATGAAACAATTTCAGCAAAGGTCTAAAGTTCAACTTCCTTTACTACTGGAAAAACACAAAGTTCAAATTCAAGTGACAACTTTTCTCTTGGAAGAAAAATAAACACACAGGGTCATAACTAAGAAACAGGTGACAACTTTTGCCAATGAATAGAAGGCACTAAAGATTCTTCTAGAAGCAGGAAAAGTCCTGATGCTGAGTTCTGTATTAACACTAAAACAATAAGAAATTCCCCAATTCTCCCAAGAAAAGTCTTAGATTAGGAACCAAATTTTAAAGAGCTATTTTTCACTTACCCATTAAAGATTATAACAAAATTTTTAAAAAGAAGGAAAAAAAGCTCTAAATCAAAACCTGAGGCACTGACTGCTAGAGAGAACCCTCATTAAATGATTTGGTTGATGGTACAGCTCTGGCTGCACTCTCTGACTAGATGAAAGGAATAAAGAGAGGAAGAATCAATGCTGCAGCAGCCACGTCCTATACCGTCCAGTTCATCCTTCTGCCATGAACTTTGTCAGAAGCCAATATGAGATCATTCCCCATGAATATTACATCTTACAAAAATGGTTACATTTCATTCTTACAATATGCTAGCTTCTAAATGACATGTTGTGAATACAGTTTAACAAAGAGTTACCAGTTGAGATAAGAGACAGAGTGGGAAGTGCACTCTACAATACCTTATGAAACTGAAAAATCCATTTTACAAAGTTTAAAGGGAAAAAGTGAGCAGAGGAAATTTCTTTTTAAATCTCTATACTCTGTATGTTCACCCTTTTCTAAATGAATAACATCAGTATAGAATCTCTGCCACCTCCCGAGATAATATTTATGCTGTTTTTAAGGAAAACCAAAGTTCTACAAATAACCTCCTCAAGTTCTTATTTAAAGTCTTGTGTTTAACCTGCAAAAAATCTGTTTCATAATAAATTTTATTTTTAAGCAAAGCCAGTTAATATAATACCTAACATGAAAAATCAAAATTTTTAAATGACAACTTGCTTAGAAACAAGAATATTAATTTCAGATGACATAGTGATTCCACTGTGACAGACACAGTGGAATCCACTTGAAATTAATGATGCAGAGCCTATCATAAAAAAAAAAATAAGTATAGTATTCAGACTTATTAATGATCATAAAACATGCTGCAGCCATTTAATATGCTATTCCCTTCATTTTGGCTAAATATTTAAAATAGGAAAGTGCCTTTGGTTGTCAAGGGGGCAAAATTTTATTTCTATAAAAATGGTAACTTCAGTTTGGGGCACCCAGTATGTTTACTCAACACAATTAACACCACTGCACACACTCTAAACCTTGAAATATTTTCTTAAATTTCATGTAAAGGTTGAAAAATGAATAACATACAAACAAGACTAATGCTAATTAAAGAGCTATCTCTTTAGTCTTCTAAAAGAATCAACATCATTTGGAATACACCAGCTTCCTTCCTCATCAACTTTAAGACTGTTTTTTACATGAGAATTATATTCTTAGCCATGTCCCAACTAATCAAAACAAAGCAATGATGCAGATGTTCTCTTGATTCACTGACTCATGGGATCTGAACTAAATGGCACCTAGCTAGTAAATGCTGCCTATATAGTACTTTGTATATTACAGACGTGCCTACTGGCTGAATTACAACCCCATAAGTCTCTTCTGTACCCTTCACATATGGCTTTAGAAGTTAGGGCTAAGAAAGAATCGTACAACTTGAAAACTAAAGGCTGTTTAAAGTCAGCCAGAGTTCTAAAAAATATTAACAAAACTTCACATAATCCCATTAACTTAAAATGAATATGACAGAATAGGCTATATAAAGAAAAATCTTAAGATTGTAGGTCTACGTGAGTGTGTGTGTATACATACCCACAATACACATATGTATACTGCATCACAAACAATCAGTTCATGTAAAGCTCAAGGACTTTTAAAGATATTTCCAAAGTTAGCTGCTGAGAATGAAAAAAAAAAAAATGTGAGGGAGACAGCATGTTAAATTCTTATGCAGAATTTTCTCGAATTTTGCAATGAAGGGATGAACTGATATCTAGCCCATGTCACTATTAGATAGCTCATTGTTATTTTTTACACTATATATTAATAGAGCACATTCAATCAGTTTGATTTCTAATAACATTGTAACCATAATTCACCTACAGACATCTCAAATGACAGAACCACATTCTACCAATGCTGAAACAACAACATTCTCAACAATAAATTCATGAGACTACTACATACTACCAGATCTCACTGTACGCAGTCTGATCAATGGTTTGAAACTGGCAAGTAGGCTATAAAGGTAACGTGCTTTGCTGCAGATTTTACTAGCATAAAGACACCACAGCAACAGGGGATCTTTTTACCTACCGCTTCAACAAATTCTGTAAAATCAAAAGCTTTACAACAGCATTTACATGGCTAGGCACTTAGATTTTCCTTCAAAACCCTGACTCTATTCACCAGCTCCCCGCAAGAGCACACCACTGCCACATAGAACATATTGCATACCCTCGTCGGTACCCAGACACCTGAACCACTTGGACTGACAGAGTTTGGCTGTCAGCTCCGAGACATCTGCTGGTGTGCAAGAAACACTGAAAACAGCTAAGCCCTCCCAGGTATTCTAAGTGGTAACCTTGGCACCAACTGTCTCCAATAGTAAAGACCTTTTTCCCTGTTGGAAGATGTACAAGATTTCTCACACACACACACACACACACACACACACACACACACGCGCGTAAGGCTCTTTTTCACAAAGACAGCCGCAAAGGACTGGCATTCTTTAGTCAAAAACTCTTGTCTGCGTTGGGAAACAGATTATGAATTCAAGAAACCCAGCTGCCCGTTGCAATTTGGTGACAGCTCGCAGAGCAGCCCAGCCAAACCAGGGCTCAGTTTTCCTACGGGCAAAATGGGAATCACCAGCGACACCCCTCCCCCTCGCCAGGGGTCAGGCACACCCCAGAGGTCTCAGAGCACCCGGAATGAGAAGTGGTGGAGGTTGCCGCTTCTCCAGGACCACCCCCTACCCCGCGACAGACAGGCAGGGCCCGGTACCTGGCTTCACCGTCTTGAGACGGATGGGCTCGCGGAAGTGGCGGATGACAGCCAGGGTGTCCCGGTTGGTGAGCCCGCTGACAGGCGTCCCGTTCACCTCCAGCAGCACATCCCCGGGGCTGGGCGCCTTGCCCGAGACGACGCAGCAGGTGCCCCCGCCGGGCTCCTCGCGGAGCCGCCCCAGGTAGGGGAACTCGCCGCGCTCAGCGCCTCCCCGGATCTCGGCGCCGAAGTCGCCCGGGGGCCCGGCCCAGGACACCGCGCACTCCTGCACCTTGCTGAGCCAGTGCTTCTTCTTCTTCAGCGTCTTCGACATCCCGAACCCCGCTGCACCATGGGGGAGACCCCGCGCGGGCGGCCGGGGCGCCGCTCCGGCCCCTTCTCAGCCCGGGGCCCCGAGCGGCCCACGCAGCCCGGCCAGGGGGGCCTCGCCGCTCCGGCCCCCCTAGACCACAGCCCGCTGAGGGTCCGGCCGCTCCGAACCCCGAGACGCCCCCCGGACGCCCCGCCTGGCCACGCTCCCCGGGGCTGGCCGGGCTCTGCAAGGGCCACCGCGGGTGAGGCTGAAGAAAGGAAACGGGAATGGTCCCCGGGCGGTTCCAGCAGGGGTTTCGGGCGGGGTCACTGCCGTCGGCTGGCCCCCGGGCTTGGCGCCCGAGCGGCGGGAAAGGCTGAGGCAGGGGGGCGGGGAGGCCGGGGAGGGAAGAGCCGGAACGGGAAAAATCCGTCGGGGGCGCGCAGAAGCGCGCGTAGAACCGTCGCCGGATCGACCGCGGCCGCTGCGGAGCCGGAGCGCGGAGACCAACGCCTGCCGGAGCTGCCAGGAAACTGCCGCTTTCAAACCCGCCGCAACCTCCTCCTCCCTCTTCCCCTCCCCCCGCCCTCGCCCATCCCTCCACCAGAGCCCCGCCCCTCCCACCGCGCAGCGCCCGGCGCGCTGCCGTCACCGACCCGGCGCTGGGAAACGAGCCCGGCACTCTACCCTCGCGCCGGGGATTGGCCCCCGGCGGGAAGGAGGCGGATCCTCTACGGGAATGAGGGCCTATGATTGGTTGGTGGGAGTGGAGGAGGCGGGCAATAGAATGACTGAAGTTTAGAGAGGGTGGAAAAAAGAAGTTTGGAGAGTGAGTGAGGGCCAGTGGGGAGGGGCTGGGGAGTGGAGTCGGACCGCGGGTCGCGGAGCTGCGAGAGGCCCTCCGCCCCATGGGGGGGAGCCAAGGAAAACTCGGGCACCGAGTAACCGAACTCCTCGAGGTGGGGGCGTGGCTGGTCAACCCGGCGGAGATGGGGGCGGAGCCCGAGTGGGGCGCCAGCGAGTAGCCGGCGGCGTGCCTAGATTACCCGACCGAGCCGAGTCCTGAGCGGCCTGAGGTGGCGGCGCCTTTGGAGTGGCCTGTTGTTACAACTTACATTGACTCGGTGTTGCTTTATTCGTTCATTTCCTCAAAAAATGTTACTGAAAGCCCGTGGAAGCACACTTCAGGAGTCCCGTTGATAGAAGGTCAAAGAGAGCCCTGCTGTGCGCCATCAGGCAAATGAGATAGCCTCTCTGAATCAAGCATCCATCCTGAGCTAAAAGCAAAGACGCTTATACCTATATTCCCCAGATACTGTGAAGAGTACATCAGAAACAGCATCTGCATAGTGCCTGGCAGAGGATTGATGCTTCTTAATATTTAGTAGCTGAGGATGACGACGATTTTTGTGTCAGGTGGAAATTGTGCTAGCTTTGGGGGTTCAAAGATGAAGAAATTAAGAGGCCCTTCTCATCAGGAGGTTGCAGTTTTCTGGAAGACCCTGACAAGTCAGCAGATCACCTAGGGTGGGAGTGGAGGTGGAAAGTGGTTTGGGAGCTAGCCTCGAAGTCCGCAACCTGAGTTGAGCCCTCGCAAGCTATTTACCTACTGTTTGACCTTAGCCAAATCTCTGCTTCAAGTTTACCCATCTGTGAAGGAGGAGGAGGGAAAAGTAGCACTAAATAGAGACCTGAGATCCCTTCCAGCACTAACTTTTCAGAAACTCCTCCTGAGCCTTCTCTCCTTCCGAATTGACTCACACTTTTTCCTGTCTTTGGCATACTCTTAACCATCTCTTTTTAAAATCCTGTCCATCCTCACCCTAGAAGCCATCTTTTCCAGGTAGCCGCCTCTGATTTCTTGCTCTTCCTGGGCCAAGTGTTTTCTCTGAGCTATGACACTTTGTTTCACTTTTGAGACATGACATTTATGTTGTCTGTCTTCCTTTAATGATAGCAGAAATCCTTTATTTAAACTGTGAATAACTCCACACGATCTCACCACATCTCAGACTGGACCAAGCTTCCACAGCTGCAGCGATTTCTTTCACACCATTGTATCAGTCAGGCTCCTGGCATGAAAAAAAAAAAAAAAATTGGCACTTTACAAAGAAGCATGCAGGGTGTGGGAAACCACAGGGCAAGTGTGGAACCCTGGGGCTACCAGCTCCTAGAACTGTGGAAGCAAGACTCAGGTGCTGAGGGCTGCCTGACTAGAGCCTGTGACCTTCAGTCACCTGACGCAGTCAGCCTAAGTAATCACACAAGAAAGAAGCCAGAGATTTATGTGGTACTCCCCACCCTCCTCCATCCTGCTGATGCCTCCCAATGGCCAAATCCAACCAGAAGCCAGAGAGCAAGGAAGGCCTTTGATGCAGTCTGAATTAGCCAAGCCTCATGAAGAAGAAACTGCATCTGGAGTGAAAAGGAGGAAATATTTAACACAGATGTCATGTGGATTGTTCAGATATTCCAGATCTGAGATAAAGTTATTTTTTTTAACAGTGACCTACGCTAATGGATTCCTAGTGAAATCTTGATAATCTTCACATCATCTGTTTTTGCTGAAATTGGGTAAACATCTTTCCCTGTCTAGATTGTATCTCTTAAAATGCCTTTGGCCATAAGGAACAAAATATCTGATAAATAATAGCCTAAAACATGTGGTCATTTATTAGATCTTTAACATAAAGTTCAAAGGTAGGTAGTTTCAAATTTAGCCGAGCAGCACAATTATGTCATCAAGGAGCCAAGTTCTTTCTGTGTTTGCTCTCTGCCATGTTATGCCTATTATTGGCTTTTATCACCAAGATTGTCACCTCTTAATTACAGTGTGGCTGCCACAACTCCAGACATCACATCCTCAGAGGTTGTTGTATGAAGAAGGGAAAGGAAGGAAATTCTCCTCACATTTTTATGAGGGAGAAAACTCTTTCCTAGATTGCTCCCCAGTAGAATCCCCCTTTTTGGCTAGAAAAATGGTCAGATGCCCACCTTAGACCAGACACTGACAAAGGAATATCAGATTGCCACAGTTCATGAGTTGCCCCCACACAAAATAAGGGCTCTGTTTGAGAGAAGAAAGGGAGATTAGTTGTTCAATAAATATCTACCCACAGTGTGTCTGCCACTGCCTTGACCACAAATTAATTCTCAGGCAGAGAACTACAGTGAAATTTTATATTTCAGTTAAATAAACTAATTTATTGTCTAAAACTGGTATTACCCTTTTATATATAATCATGCATTTTTTTGCCCATAGATACATTTAATTGATCAAATTGATCAAATGAATCCAGCCTAAATCCACAAACAGGGAGTATTAAAAATCAACACACATTGGAAAGGGAAGTTAGTTAAGCAGTCAGATGTCAAGTTTGTTTCCCAGAGCAGAACAGAGAGAACACTGAATGAAATAGAAAATTCCAAGGGCCCATCTTTCAGTGTTCAGTTTAACTCCACCTCCTAACCAGAGCTGCTTGAGTTCCTACAGTGAGGGATGTCACTGCATCCAGCTCCTGTGCCAAGAATTTGTTTCTATCTTTTTATCTTTCCCAAGAGATCTCAAGACCCCTGAGGGCAGCTTCCCTTTCTGATTCATCCTGTGACTCTCGCTGGGGTGGCTGAGCTGTCTGTAGCATAGCCAGCACACACTGCTGCCCCCCTTCATTCAACAAATACAGCGTGTGTCATGAGCAGCCATGCTAGGTGCTGGTTTATGGCCATGAACCGACTTACAAGGTTCCTCCTTTTATGGGGAAGAAGACAACAAGCTTGAGATGAGTGCAGGATCAAGATAGCGTCAGGCAGTAATAAATATTACTATAATAAAAAAGGAGATGAAATGAATGACGTGGTGGGGTGGTTAGAAGAGGCACAGGTTCCGCTGGAGGGCTCAGAGAAGGTGCCACGGAGAAAGTGGTAACTGAGCTGAGACCCAAGTGACAAAGACAAGGGAGCCACAGGAAGACCCCAGTCCAGCCTTACCCAGGACCTCACCAAGCCCTCAGGCACTGTGTGTCTGATGAGAGGAAGAGAGTGCTAAGGTGACTGGAGGTGGTCATGGAGGAGAGTTGGAGGAAATGAGAGGCCGCATCACAGAAGGCCTTGTCAGCCACGTGAGGAATCTGGATTTCAGTCGAGCACAGTGAGAAGTTTCAAGAAGGTCTGGGAGGTGTTTGAGACCTGATGGTTGTGACTCTGATTGCTCTGTTGAGAAGGATGGTAGGGGGTGTGGAGTCGGGGGAGAACCAGGAAAGCCAGGTGGAAAGTGGGGTGTTCTGATGTGCATACTCTGTGGTCATCCATGGTCTCTAGTTCTGACTCCCTCCCTGAGACAGCCATATATACTAAAATCTCTCTTCCCCAAGACAGATCATATGAACTCTGGTCTTGCCCTGCCTTTGTGTTTGGAACTGGCCATAAAGAAACTCTCTAAACATAGATAATACCCCCCTTTCTGAAGGGGTCCTGCCCCATACCCAGGAGAATGGAATGCTACACAGAGGCCAGGGAGAATCTGCACAGACAGGCCTTGCTGGGTTTGCCACTCCGCCTATCGCACTGGACCACACTATTTGTGTCCCATCACCTTTTTACACTGGTGTCTATGTGTCACTCTGTGACAACAGGTCTCCATAAAACCCCAAAGAACACGGCATTGCGGGATTCTCGCCCAGAGAGACAGGAGACCAAGGCTTCCAGCAGAAAGCATGTATCAGTGCCAACACTGGCTCAGCAGATTTGCATCCAAAGGCTGAGCCCTGAGCTCAGCTGGGACATTGCCTGATGTAACCTTGGTTAGTTTCCTTTAGATGTTAGGGCCTTTGTCTCCCATATATGGTAACAAACGTTTTGATTAGGTATTCTATGCTACAGAGTTGCAACAGAATTACCCACGCAAACATAGACACTGACTGTGCCTTGTTGCCTTGTCCTTTATCTTAGAAGATCCCTCTGTTCCGGGTGGGCTGTTACCACAAGGATTCGGAGACCTTGGGAGTTCTTAGAGGGTGGTACACCCAGAGAGGACTGGAAGCTCCATGCCCCATATCTTCTCCTTTGCACCTCTTCATCAGAATCTTTTTTGTAAAATCCTTTATAATAAACCAATAAACATGCTTGTTTCTCCAATTTCTGTAAGAAACTGACAGGGGTCATGGGACCCTTGATTGGTAGCTGGTAGGTCAGAAGAACCGGTAAGATCACCTGGGACTTGTTATTGCATCTGAATTGGATTAAATTTGGAGATGCCCACTGCAGATTTGATGGGTTGATGTGGGAAGGGGAACCCACATACATCTAGTGGCAGAAGTGATCTGTGGTGGGAGAGGAAAGAAGGATAAATTGAGTCTGACTTTGAATTGGTTTTTTCCTATGTAGATAAATATCTTCTATATTTATAGAAACCTAGAACTGGAACACATCGAGAGATGACAGT